CCGCGGACCCGTGAGGTAGATGTCCGTGAGCACCGCCACGTAGACGTCGGCGCGCGTCGCCGACGCGCGGAGCGCGTCGAAGGCGCCGTTCGCCGCGCCGCCGCCCGCCGTGAGCGCGCTGAGGCGCCGCACGGCGAGGGCCGCGACGGAGCGCGCCGGCGCGGGATCGGGGTCCGGCGCGGCGTCGCGGTCCGGCGCATCGTCGTCGTCGTCGTCGTCGTCGTCGTCGATCGCGGCGCGCGGCGCGTCCTGGCCGCGCGAAGGAGAGCCCGCGGCGTCGCGGCGTCCCGCGGCGCGCGGCGTGTTCACGTGGTCGTCCTGGCCGCGCACGAGGTCGTCGAAGCCGACGGCGCCGGACGACGCCGCCGGCCGGGGGAAGTGGTGGTTGTGGGTGTGGGCCGTGCGATGCATGCGCACCAGATGAAAGCCGTAAAAAAACAGGGCGACGACGCCGGCGGCCTTGACCAGGTCGCGGCGGCCGACGGCCTTGCCCCTGCCACTCCTCCCGGTGACCACGCGTTTGTTCTCATTTTTTTGACGCCCACGGACATTGGTGCTCACCTCCTCACAAATGTACGCGTCGATCTCACCCTCACTCATGGCCATCGTTTTGAGCAGGACCAGTGCCGTGAGGTAAAATTTTAATCGGCGATCGGCCCCACTCCATCGACCCGCCGGTCATGCGACGGGCCTCCTCGGGCCAGGTGCTCGAGCGCGCGAGCTCACACGATAGTTACGATGCGCCCGCCGCCTTCGGCCAGCACCGCCGGAGCGACAGCGATCCGCTGATGACCCAAAAGGAGTTCCACCTCTCGCACGGCGCCGGCGTCCCGCGACGCGTCGTCCCAAGGCACACGTTCGTCCGCGCGCGCCGCGACCGTCCCCCCGCGCGCAGGCGCGACGCGGACGGGTTGCCCGAGGTCGCGGCCTGCGACCTACTCTTTAGGATCGCGCGGTTTCCCCTCTTCGCCGCCTCTCTCTTCCTCTGGCGGCGCGCGCGCGCGGCGAGCGGCCTCGCGCTCTGGTGGCTGTTGCCGGGCGTCGTCCCCGCGTCGTGCATGGTCGGCGACCGCCACGACCCCAACGGCGACCTCACGGCCGCGATCTGCCGGGGGACGCTCGTCTTCGCGCGCGCGGACCTCGCGGTCTTCGGCGCGGGCCGCGTCGTCCACGTCGTCGCGCGCGCGGCCGCCGCCGCGCTCGCCGCCGTCGTCGGCCAGCTCCTGTCGCGCGCGGCGGCCGCGGCGCTCCGCCGCGTCCGCGCGAGCCGGCGCGGCGCGCGGCGGCGGTCCGAGTCCATCGACCGCGAGGAGTCCGAGGAGGCGCTCCGCGAGATGAGCCTCTGCCGCATGGACGTCTAGCGCCGTATAAAGAAAAGACCAATAGCCGCGTGGGACGCGAGTCACCCGACAGGGCGAGGTCGACGCGCCGCTCCGGTTAAAAGGGGCGCGCGCGCGCCCGTCCCGGCCGCCCGTCCCGTCCCGCCCGCGGCCTAGGACATGGACTTGGAGTGCTGGTCGATGAGCACGGCGCCCGTCGTGCCCTTCTCGCCCTCGACGACGAGCGTCATGTCGGGGTTGCGGACCCCCTCCGTCGCGCCCTCCGGCACGTGGCCGTCGTGGCAGACGTGGAGGGGCAGCGGCGGGTTGCGCATGTAGAGGGACCCGCCGGGCATGTAGGCGCAGATGTACTTGTCCGGGTGCGTGTAGTCGACGAGCTTCGCCTCGCCCGCCTTGAGGAGCGCCATGGCTTTGGCGGAGCTCGGCTCGAGCGCCGCGTGCTTGTCGAAGGCCGCCCGCAGCTTCTCGGCCTCGCCGATGAAGACCTGGCGGTCCACGGCCCAGGAGTACTGCGTCTTGAGCGCGCGCCGGTAGAGGCGCACCACGCGGGCGCCGTGGCTCAGCGCGGGCAGCACCTGCTTGTACTGCGCCGCGGCCAGGCGGAACGACGTGTCCATGACAACGAAGCCCGGGCGGCGAGGAGGCGCGGACGGGGAGGGCGGCGAGGCGACGAGGACCACGTACGGCGCGCCGCGGGCGGTGCCCCGGGCGACGGCGCGGCTGGTTTTTCAGGCCAAGCGAGCTCAGCCTCGAGGCAATCGAGACAAGGTTTGCCGGATGTTGCCGAGGCCTTGAATCCACACCATCCCGCGAAGGCTCTGCGAGCGCGAGCTTACGGCCTCACGGCCTCCCCCTACTTGGCTTCGGCGCGCTTGCGGGCGCGGTTCTTGAGCATGGCGTAGAGCTCGTCGTCGACGGCCGTCCGGACCGCGAGGCGCGCGCCCGCGCGGCTCGGCGGCGCCTTCGGCGGCTCGGGCGCGTCGTCGAGCTCGAGGTGCACGTTCGGGAGGTTGTTCTCGAGGAAGGCGCGCACGACGACGGGCTCGTCGGCGTCGTTGCCCCGGAGGTCCAGGGCCACGAGGAGCTTGAGCTTCCGCGTCAGGGGCCGGAGGTCCTCGACGCGGCCGTCGAGCGCGTTGTCCGCGAGGCTCAGCGCGCGGAGCCGCTTCGGCAGGGCGCCCACGGGCACGTCGAAGAAGGCGTGCGCGG